TTGATGTTGTCTTTCTTTTCTTTCTCATACTTCTTTCATTAAATATAGTTTTTTTCTTTCTTTTCCCTCACTCTTTCCTTAATTTTTTTTTTTTTCATTCTTTTTGTTTGATGTTTCTCTTTCTTTTCTTTCTCATACTTTTTCATTAAATCTAGTTTTTTTTTCTTTTCCCTCACTCTTTCTTTAATTTTTTTTTTTTCATTTTCATTCTTTTTTTTGATGTTGTCTTTTCTTTTCTTTCTCATACTTCTTTCATTATATCTAGTTTTTTCTTTTCTATTCTCTCACTCTTTCCTTAATTTTTTTTTTTTTTTTCATTCTTTTGTTTTCTTGTTGTCTTTCTTTTCTTCTTCTCATACTTTTTTCATTAAATCTAGTTTTTTTTTTTTTCATTCTTTTTTTTTGATGTTGTCTTTCTTTTCTTTCTCATACTTCTTTTTCATTAAATATAGTTTTTTCTTTCTTTCCTTCTTTTCCTTTTCTTTTTTTTCTTTTTTCATTCTTTTTGTTTGATGTTGTCTTTCTTTTCTTTCTTTCTCTTCTTTCATTAAATATAGTTTTTTTTCTTTTCTTTTCCCTTTCTTTTCTTTAATTTTTTTTTTTTTTCATTCTTTTGTTTGATGTTGTCTTTCTTTTCTTTCTCATACTTCTTTCATTATATCTAGTTTTTTTCTTTCTTTTCCCTCACTCTTTCATTAATTTTTTTTTTTTTCATTCTTTTGTTTGATGTTGTCTTTCTTTTCTTTCTCATACTTTTTCATTAAATCTAGTTTTTTTCTTTCTTTTCCTCACTTTTCATTAATTTTTTTTCTTTTTTTTCATTCTTTTTTGTTTGATGTTGTCTTTCTTTTCTTTCTCATACTTATTTCATTATATCTAGTTTTTTCTTTCTTTTCTCTCTCTCTTTCCTTAATTTTTTTTTTTTTTCTTCTTTTGTTTGATGTTGTCTTTCTTTTCTTTCTTTTCTTTCTTTCATTAAATCTTTTTTTTTTTTTCAAATTTTCTTTGATTTTTTTCTTTTCTTTCTCATTTCTTTTTTAAATGATTTTTCTTTCTTTTCTTTCTTTCTTTTCTTTTTTTTTTTTTTTCTTTCTTTTTTTTTTCTTTCTCTTTTTTTCTTTCTTTTTCTTTCATTAAATCTTTCTTTTCTTTCTTTTCTTTCTAATTTTTTTTTTTCTTTTTTCATTCTTTTGTTTGATGTTGTCTTTCTTTTCTTTCTCATACTTCTTTCATTAAATCTAGTTTTTTCTTTTCTTTTCCCTCACTCTTTCCTTAATTTTTTCTTTTTCATTCTTTTTTCTTTGATGTTGTCTTTTTCTTTTCTTTCTCATACTTCTTTCATTAAATCTAGTTTTTTCTTTCTTTTCCCTCACTCTTTCCTTAATTTTTTTTTTTTTCATTCTTTTTCTTTGATGTTGTCTTTCTTTTTCTTTCTCATACTTCTTTCATTAAATATAGTTTTTTTTTTCTTTTCCGTCACTCTTTCCTTAATTTTTTTTCTTTTTTCATTCTTTTGTTTGATGTTGTCTTTTTTTTCTTTCTCTTTCTTTCTTTCATTAAATCTTTTTTTATTTTTCTTTCTTTTTGTTTGATTCTTGTTTTTTTTTTTCTTTTTTTCTTTTTCATTAAATATAGTTTTTCTTTCTTTTCCTCACTCTTTTTTCTTAATTTTTTTTTTTTTCATTCTTTTGTTTGATGTTGTCTTTTTTTCTTTCTCATACTTCTTTCATTAAATCTAGTTTTTTCTTTCTTTTCTTCACTCTTTTCATTAATTTTTTTCTTTTTTTTTCTTTTTTGTTTTTGTTGTCTTTCTTTTCTTTCTCATTCTTTTTCATTAAATATTTTTTTCTTTTCTTTCCTTTCTTTTTTTTTTTTTCTTTCTTTTTTTTTCATGTTTCTTTTTTTCTTTCTCATTTTCTTTCTTTAAATCTTTCTTTTTCTTTCTTTTCTCTTCTTTCCTTTTTTTTTTTTTTCATTCATTCTTTTGTTTGATGTTGTCTTTCTTTTCTTTCTCATACTTCTTTCATTAAATATAGTTTTTTTTTCTTTTCCTCACTCTTTCCTTAATTTTTTTTTCTTTTTCATTCTTTTGTTTGATGTTGTCTTTTTTTCTTTCTCATACTTCTTTCATTAAATTAGTTTTTTTCTTTCTTTTCTTTCTTTTCTTTCCTTTTTTTTTCTTTTTTTCTTTTGTTTGATGTTCTTTTCTTTTCTTTCTCATACTTCTTTTCTTAAATTTGTTTTTTTTTTTTTTTCACTTTTCCTTTATTTTTTTTTTTTCATTCTTTTTTCTTTCTTGTCTTTCTTTTCTTTCTTTCTTCTTTTTCATTTTTCTAGTTTTTCTTTTTTTTCTCTTTCTTTTCCTTAATTTTTTTTTTTTTCATTCTTTTTTTTGATGTTGTCTTTCTTTTCTTTCTCATACTTATTTCATTAAATCTAGTTTTTTTTTCTTTTCTCTCTTTTTTTCCTTAATTTTTTTTCTTTTTTTCATTCTTTTGTTTTGATGTTGTCTTTCTTTTCTTTCTCATACTTCTTTCATTAAATTAAATTTTTCTTTTCTTTCTTTCTTTCCTTTTCTTTTTTTTTTTTCTTTTTTTTTTTTTCTGTTGTCTTTCTTTTCTTTCTCTTTCTTTCATTAAATATTTTTTTTTTTCTTTTCCCTCATTTTCTTTTTTTTTTTTTTTTTTTCATTCTTTTGTTTGATGTTGTCTTTCTTTTTCTTTCTCATACTTCTTTTCATTAAATCTAGTTTTTTTCTTTCTTTTCCTCACTCTTTCCTTAATTTTTTTTCTTTTTTTCATTCTTTTTTTCTTTGATGTTGTCTTTCTTTTCTTTCTCATACTTCTTTCATTAAATATAGTTTTTTCTTTCTTTTCCCTCACTCTTTCCTTAATTTTTTTTCTTTTTTCATTCTTTTGTTTGATGTTGTCTTTCTTTTCTTTCTCATACTTCTTTCATTAAATCTAGTTTTTTCTTTCTTTTCCCTCACTCTTTCCTTAATTTTTTTCTTTTTTCATTCTTTTGTTTGATGTTGTCTTTCTTTTCTTTCTCATACTTCTTTCATTAAATCTAGTTTTTTCTTTCTTTTCCCTCCTCTTTTCTTTAATTTTTTTTTTTTTTCATTCTTTTTCTTTGATGTTGTCTTTTTCTTTTCTTTCTCATACTTTTCTTCATTATATCTAGTTTTTTCTTTCTATTCTCTTCACTCTTTCCTTTTTTTTTTTTTTTTTTTTCATTCTTTTTGTTGGATTTTTTCTTTCTTTTTCTTTCTCATACTTCTTTCATTAAATCTAGTTTTTTCTTTTTTCATTCTTTTGTTTGATGTTGTCTTTCTTTTCTTTCTCATACTTCTTTCATTAAATATAGTTTTTTCTTTCTTTTCCCTCACTCTTTCCTTAATTTTTTTCTTTTTTCATTCTTTTGTTTGATGTTGTCTTTTTTTTCTTTCTCATACTTCTTTCATTAAATATAGTTTTTTTTTTTCTTTTCCTTCACTTCTTTCCTTAATTTTTTTTTTTTTTCATTCTTTTGTTTGATGTTGTCTTTCTTTTCTTTCTCATACTTCTTTCATTAAATCTAGTTTTTTCTTTCTTTTCCCTCACTCTTTCCTTAATTTTTTTCTTTTTTCATTCTTTTGTTTGATGTTGTCTTTCTTTTCTTTCTCATACTTCTTTCATTAAATCTAGTTTTTTCTTTCTTTTCCCTCACTCTTTCATTAATTTTTTTCTTTTTTCATTCTTTTGTTTGATGTTGTCTTTCTTTTCTTTCTCATACTTATTTCATTATATCTAGTTTTTTCTTTCTTTTCTCTCACTCTTTCCTTAATTTTTTTTCTTTTTTCATTCTTTTGTTTGATGTTGTCTTTCTTTTCTTTCTCATACTTCTTTCATTAAATCTAGTTTTTTCTTTTTTCATTCTTTTGTTTGATGTTGTCTTTCTTTTCTTTCTCATACTTCTTTCATTAAATATAGTTTTTTCTTTCTTTTTTCTTTCTTTCTTTTTTTTTTTTTTTCTTTTTTTCATTCTTTTTGTTTGATGTTGTCTTTCTTTTCTTTCTCATACTTCTTTCATTAAATCTAGTTTTTTCTTTCTTTTCTCTCCTCTTTTCTTTAATTTTTTTCTTTTTTTTCATTTCTTTTTTGATGTTGTCTTTCTTTTCTTTCTTTTCATACTTATTTCATTATATCTTTTTTTTTTTTCTTTTCTCTCTCACTCTTTCCTTAATTTTTTTTTTTTTTCTTTTTTGTTTGATGTTGTCTTTTCTTTTCTTTCTCATTTCTTTCATTAAATCTAGTTTTTTTTTTTTCATTCTTTTTTCTTTGATGTTGTCTTTCTTTTTCTTTCTCATACTTCTTTCATTAAATCTAGTTTTTTTCTTTCTTTTCCCTCACTTCTTTCCTTAATTTTTTTTTCTTTTTCATTCTTTTGTTTGATGTTGTTTTTTTTTCTTTCTCATACTTCTTTCATTAAATCTAGTTTTTTCTTTTCTTTTCCCTCACTTTCTTTTCATTAATTTTTTTTTTTTTTCATTCTTTTGTTTGATGTTGTCTTTCTTTTCTTTCTCTACTTCCTTCATTAAATATAGTTTTTTCTTTCTTTTCCCTCACTCTTTCCTTAATTTTTTTCTTTTTTCATTCTTTTGTTTGATGTTGTCTTTCTTTTCTTTCTCATACTTCTTTCATTAAATCTAGTTTTTTCTTTCTTTTCCCTCACTCTTTCATTAATTTTTTTTCTTTTTTCATTCTTTTGTTTGATGTTGTCTTTCTTTTCTTTCTCATACTTCTTTCATTAAATATAGTTTTTTCTTTCTTTTCCCTCACTCTTTCCTTAATTTTTATTCTTTTTTCATTCTTTTGTTTGATGTTGTCTTTCTTTTCTTTCTTATACTTCTTTCATTAAATCTAGTTTTTTCTTTCTTTTCCCTCACTCTTTCATTAAAACTTGTTCTTTCTTACTTTTTCTTCATTCTTTTGTTTAATGTCATTTTTCCTTTCTTTCCAATGCTTCTTTCGTTAAATGTAGTTTTCTATCTTTTCCACCACTCTTTTATTAAATACTGTTTTTCTTTCTTTTTTTTCATTCTTTCATTTAATGTAGTTTTCCTTTTCTTTCTGTTGTGATGTTGTTAGGGTCAGAAATAAAGTCACCAAGAGAGGAATTGAATTAAACAAAGATATTAACAGAAACAATAATACAAACAAGAATGTTACAGCATGAATGTTCGATTTGACTGTCAGAGCTGACTGCTGGAAATTTCCCTCTCCAAAAGGCAGCAGCTGCTCCTATTTATAGCTGGGAGAGTCCATGCATGCTTGGTTAAATTACCATAACACTTTCCCTTGCTTCTTTTGTTAAATGTAGTTTTACCTTTCATTTCACTCACTCTTTCATTAAACCTAGGTTTTTCTTTCTTTTTCTTCAGTCTTTCCTTTAATGTTTACATTTCATTTGCATGGTTCTTTCGTTAAATGCCGTTTTTCCTTTGTTTCCCATTCCACTCTCATTAAATGTAGTTTCTTCCATTATTTCTCATCACTCTTTCATTTAGTCATTTTTTTCTTTTCTTTTTCCTCACTCTTTCATTAAATCTGGTTGTTATCTTTCTTTTTCTTCATTCTTCCGTTTAATAAAGTTTTGTCCTTTCTTTTCCATCAATGTTCCATTAAATCTTGTTTTTCCTTTCTGTTTATTCATTCTTTCATTAAATGTAGTTTTTCCTTCCCTTTTACTCAATCTTTCATTAAATCCTGTTTTTCCTCTTTTCTTCATTCTTTTTGTTTAATGTTATTTTTCCTTTCTTTCTTATCTCTCTTTCATTTAATCTTTCTTTTCCTTGTTTTCATTCATTCTTTAAATTTTATCCCTTTCTTAAACTTTCTTTTTATTTATGTAGCAAAATCTTATTTAAAATTCTTGAAGAAAAAAATTACATCCCTGCTGATGAAAGGCAAAAATTGGTCTCTATGGTGATTAAAAGGCAGCAGTCTTGTTTTGGAGGCATTAATATTAACAAGCCATTTCTTGCCCCAGTTAACACCTGATTGGAGGTCATGTTAAATAATAGTTTAGCAGACTATTATTTTTAGAGGAAGTGTACCTCTGCTTCAACTTCCAGAGGTTGACCTTCAAGGTCAGATGTACGACATAATAAGGAAGTCGATTTTGATTGGCTGAGCTCGTGTGGGAATGGTAGATATAGAAACGTTTTTCATGGAGTCGAGTCTTGACCATCAAGCAATGTAGACAGTGGTCTCTTTCATGTTTGAAATAGCTCCTCAGTAACAGGGAACAACCTCCACTGGATAGTTAGTACATGTCGACCGTAATAAAAATAGATGTTAAAATTCTTTTTGTTTGATGTTATTCATTGCTGCCCAAAAATATCAACTGATCACCAGCTGAGAGAGAGAAAATTCAACATTATTAACAAATTGTCACCGTTGACCAGGACCTCCCAGCATGAGGTGGCTATAAAACACGCATTTTCTGGAGCTGTTAATTTTTCTTAGACCTATTGAGCTGTCTTTTAAGACACAAGTAAATGATGAAGATAAAAAAAGTGGTGTGTGCCTGCATGAATGTGAAATAATCTAGAAACATGGCCATTCAGCACAACTTTTATGATATGATTTGACATTAGTTAGATCCAGTGACAGGACCCAAAGAGTGCGAGTTCAATACCTAGTTAAGGCGATGGAGAACTTAGAGAGGGGAATTAATGGGAGATAACTGATAACTGACATCCATTAGACATGGCATGTGGAACTAGAACAGTCTACCCCAGTGAGTGAAATAAAGGGTTTAGTTCAACATTCCAACCACCTGAAGAAGGCCGGAGTGTACAACGGCCAAAATGTTGTAATAAATATGGTGACAAAGATGAGGACAATAGTCCAAATAATGTAAATAGTGATGATTTGTTAATTATATTTGAATTAAGACAAATATTCAACCAGGGACATCATAGTCCTTGAGTTTGTGAAGAAGGCCTGCATGCCAAACCCTGTCAAGTGTCTTTGAGATATCTATAGTCACAGCTTCAGCTTCACCATTCTTATCTAAAGCTTTGAGAGACAAGTTCAGTAATAACCAATAATAATAATAGTAATAGTAATAATAATAATAATAAGCAGAAAATGTCATTTTAAGACTGTAAACCCATATGGATGCAGCCCCCAAAATCCAGAAGACCAGAGCCTGACAGCTGATCTCTCCTCTCATCTTGCTCACACAGCTCAATGGAGCAGGAAATGGCTTGTAACATTCAATACCTGTAAAACCAAGCTTCTAATATTTTATCATGATAGAGTATGAATAGTCATATGTTGGGAATTGTGCAAATGAAATCAGTTTGTCCATCCAGGCAAACAGTATATAATATAGTAACAACTTTCATTCAGTTATGTGCCATACATGATACACACTTAGGAGATCATGTATCTTTTGATACATGACTGACGAGGCAGATTTTTTCCCACAGTATTTCTTTCTGCAGTAGACCAGTTGACATCCAAGACTATAGAACCCAGTCTATCCTGCTATTTACCCATAGCTGAGGGGAGAATAAGAGGATTCACACCTTTCCCAAGGATATTAGCACATAAGTGAATGTAATGGATTCAACTGGAATTCAAACTCAGCTCTCCGATTCCTCAATCTGAGCTGCTATCCATTACTCCACCATGCTGTCATACAACTTTAAGTACAAGCTTATAAAGCTTTATTTGACCAATTCAAGTTCAATGCAGAAAAACATTTATTTTATTTTGATGAATGGTTACAAGTGAGAGGGGAGATGGTATATGCTTATTTTATTACCACACAGTATGACCAGAAACCAAAGGTTTTCCTGTAAAGTAATGAAATTCAAATGCTCTGGGGCTTTTACATCCAGATTGACATCTCAACCCAAGATTGGATCTGGTTGTCATAAAGGAGGAATAGGAAGGCTGCTAGAAAAAAAACCGTAAGAAACATACTTACTGTTGTAGCATACCTACAGGCGATAATGGGTATGTCTCCATTCACATAAATGCAGTAGTAAATACTGTATGTTGGTCTGCAGTTGGAAATTCATCTCCAGCTGCGCTGGTCAAACTCTCTGTCTGGAGGCAGAGAGGATCCCCAGATGAGGCTTTGTCAAAAGGCAGAGTCTCATTTCAGGAAACAGCTACTGAACCCCGTTTTATATGGGGTTTATGGGGAATTTTTGGCCGAGCCTATGGGCTCAGATACCCTACATTAAATTCAGCCTCATGTCACATCTGACCATGTGGGGCGGTTGGTAGATATCCTATGGTTGGATATTCATTGTGGAATTCACTTAACTCACTTCTCTTCACGCCGCTGGTGAATCTTATATGTCTTGTTCGTGTCCTAAGTATTAGTGTTCATTACCAACCTCCTTCGTGTGTTTATTCTATTCAGTAACTTTCCCTAAGTTACACCACTTACTCTTGCAGACCACAAGGTGACTAGTATAAAGAGGGTAATATTTCAGGATCTCACCTGTGAACAGATCAAGTTGTGCAATATGGTTAGGATCAAATTTGGAAAAATTCCAAAAACTCAGGATGTAGGCGATCATGGCCCTCCACAACTTCCTGTCCTTTGTAGCTCTAAATAACTTTTGTCTTTCTGCCAAGTCTCTTAAATACTGTTCTACCATCCATTTACTCAAGCTCACTATGTCATATGCTGTTTTCCTCTATTCCTCTTGCCTTCAATCTGTTCTGTGAGTATCAAATTTTCTAAGCCCTCCTTCCTCATTATGTGCCCTAGAAACCTTAAATGTCTCTTCCTGATGTTAAGTATAAGTTTCCTTTTTGTTTCCATTTTCTCTAAAACTTTGTCATTGCTCACATGTTCAGTACATGGTATCCTCAGCATCCTTCTGTAGAACCACATTTCTGTTACTTCAAGTCTCTTTTTCATTCTTTGAGGAGATTGTCCAGCACTTACTACCATACAAGAGGACAGATATCATGTAACAGCTTAGTGCTCTTTTCTTTGTTTCTAGTGAAATTTTTCTGTTTCTTATTACTTTGCTTGGCTTTTGAAATGCATCTTTGGCTATCCCAATACACCTTCAGATTTTAGTGTCACACTTTCCATCTTCTACTAAAACACTTCCCAGATATTTAAACTTCTGCACTTGATTGATTTTGGTATCTCCAATTTGCAATTCGCATTTGGGCTCATCGGTTAAAAGATTTACATTGGCTGGGAGTTAATGGGACTATTCAAGTTGTTGATGAATGCCTAAGGATAAAAAAATGTGAAGTGGGGGCCATAATTCTTTTTCTTTCCTTTTCTTCTTTTTTTATTTTTTATCTTTTTTTTTTTCCTCTTTTTTCCTTTTCTTCATCTTTCTTTTTTCTTCATCCTTTTCTTTCCTTTTCTTCTTTTTTTATTTTTTATCTTTTTCTTTTCTTCTTTTTTTCCTTTTTTTCCTGTTTCTTTTTTCTTCATCCATTTCTTTCTTTTACTTCATCTTTTCTTTTCATTTTTCTAATTTTCCTTCTTCATATTTTCCTTCTTTACCAATTTTTTTTTTATCTTTTTTCCTTTTCTTTCATTTTTTGTTTTCATCTTTTTCTTTTTTCTTTTCTTTTCTTCATTTTTTCTTTTCCATCATATTTTCTTCTTTTTTTTTCTTCCTTTATTTTTTCTTTTCTTGTCTTCATTTCTTCTTCATATTTTTTTTACCTCTCTTTTCTTTTACTCTTTTCTTTTTCTTTCTTCTTTTCATTTCTGCTTTATTTTTTTCTTTCCTTTTATTTTTTTTCTTTCCATTTGGGCATCATTTTGTTTCATTTCTCTTTCATTCTTTCTTTTTCATTCTTTCACAATATTCATTCATTTCTGCTTAATACATTACCCATTTTTTATAATTCTTCATAGCTGTCAATTTAATAAAAGCAAACTTTCAATTTTTTAATTTTTTCTTTTTTTAAAATATTTTTTACAAATGCGCTATTTTTAACCTAAATTTAATTTAGGAAAATAATTTTTACAATGAATGTAAAAATGTAAGTATAAATTTTCCTGATAGCTCTGTATACATTGAATAGAAGAGACAATGGTATTTGTGTCAGCTTTGCTTCCTCTTTGAGAAGGTAAACAAATCTGATATGTTCTTAAAAAAGAAAAATTATATACTTGAAATAAATTATCATTTTCATCACAAAGAACCATTTAGGAAAAGTCTGAAGATGTTTGTAAAGATTAAGAAAATGAAATTCTAATGGAATCTGGTTTATCTTGTAGGTGTGAGAGGAAAATGCATTTGCAGAGAATGGAAGAGATTAAGAAGACTTAGGAGATACAAAAGAATTGAAAAAGAGAAGTGTCATGGCTGACAAAAAAGAAATGGTAAGTGAAATGATTCTAAGAGAAAGGAGAAAAGATTGAAAAGCAAGGGAAAGTAAAGGAAGAGGAGGAGGTGGAAGAAGATATGAGGAGTAAGAGAGGAGGAGGAAGAAGAAGATAGTAGTAGTAAGAAAGAGAGGAAGAAGATGATATGAGGAGTAAGAAAGAGAGGAGGAAGAAGAAGATAGTAGTAGAAAGAAAGAGAGGAAGAAGGTAAGAGGAGGAAGAAAAAGAGGAAGAAGAAGAAGATAGTAGTAGTAAGAAAGAGAGGAAGAAGAAGGTATGAGGAAGAAAAAGATATTAGGAGTATGAAAGAGAGCAGGAAGAAGATATTAGGTCTAAGAAAGAGAGGAAGAAGAAGAAGATATTAGTGGTAAGAAAGATAGGAAAAAGAAGAAGTAAGAAAGAGGAGAAAGAAGAAGATATTAGGTGTAAGAAAGAGAGGAAGAAGAAGATATGAGCAGTAAGAAAGAGAGGAAGAAGAAGAAGAAGATATTAGTGGTAAGAAAGATAGGAAAAAGAAGAAGTAAGAAAGAGGAGAAAGAAGAAGATATTAGGTGTAAGAAAAAGAGGAAGAAAAATAAGGTATGATGAGTAAGAAAAAAGAAGACAGAAAACAAAGTGATGTAATGAATATGCATACACCTGGGTTCTCCCTCACAGTAATATGATTGGCTGGTGTCAGCCATAAATACAGACTGATGGGGATTCCTATGGACTACGCCTATTGTCTTCGCCTATTGCCTTCGCCTATTGCCTACCACTACGATGAGGACCAGTCCATTACAGTTACTTGCTAGATTGTCCTACCTGGTTACAGTAGTCAACAACCATTTTGCTACTTCGAACAAATATATCCCTTTCCAGGACATATCACAAACATATGAGGAGTAAGAAAGAGAAGAATAATAAGATAGGAGAATTAAGAAAGAAAGAGAGAAAGAAAAAAAGATTAACATATGAAAATAAGCAACAGAGAAAGAAAAAGAAAAGTAACAGGATGAAGAAAATAAGAAAATATGGGAGTAATGAAAGAAGGAAAAAAAAAAAAAAAAGGAAAGTTAAAAAGAATAAATTGAGAAAAAGAATGATATGAAGGAAGAAGAAAAGATGTAGAAGAGAGAAAAAAACAGCAAAATATATAAAAGAAATTCAAAATGAAATAAAACAAAAATGAAGAACAAAATGAAAGAAAAGAACAAAATGAAAAAAAAGAAGGAAAAGAAAATGATGAAGAAGAAAAAAAGAAAAATAAGCTAAGAGAAAATGAAAGGTTAAGGACAAGAAAAGAAAAAAAAGGATTGAAATGGAATGGATGAGAATAAGAAAAAAGAAGGAAAAATAATACAGGAAAAAATGAAAAAGAATAAAAAAGGAAAAAGAAAAAGCATCAAAAAAGAGGAGAAAAGAAATAAAAACAAAAAAACAAGAATAAAGAAAAAAGTAATGAAAGAAAGATGAAAAATAAAAGGAATGAAAAATAAGATGAAGGAAGATAAAAATAAAAATAAAAAGATGATATAAATAAGATGTTGTACTCTGGATTAGTGTGAGAGCTCAAGTAAAATCCAGAATTGGAATGCTGATTTTTAAGGCAAGCATGAACATCTCACTTGAATGAGGGACATAAAACAATCTTCAGTCAGTCAGTTATGTGACATGCATGATACACACTTAGGCAATTATGTCTCTTTCAATACATGACTGACAAGGCAGATTTTTTCCTGCAGTAGGTTGCCATTTCTTCCTGCGGTAGACCAGTTCCCATCCAAGGCTATAGAACCCAGTCTGTCCTGCTAGGGAGAAGAAGAGGATTCATGCTTTTCCCAAGGATATTAGCACATAAGTGAATTTCAGTCAGTTATGTGCCATGAGTGACACAAGCTTAGGCAATCATGTATCTTTTGATACATGACTGACGAGGCAGGTCTTTTTTTGCAGCAGGTTGCCATTTCTTTCTGCGGTAGACTAGTTGCCATTGAAGGCTATAGAACCCGGTCTGTCCTGCTATTTACCTATAGATGGTGGGGGAGAAGAAGAGGATTCATACTTTTCTCAAGGGTATTAGCGATTATGTGAATGTAATGGATTCGAATGGAATTCGAACTCGACTCTCCGATTCCTCAGTCAGAGCCGCTATCCATTACTCCATCATGCCTCCTTAAAACAATCTTACAGATGTCATTTATCGATTATTCTTTGTAAATGTTAAGAATAATAAAAATTAAGGTAAGGAATAGCAGAAGAGAAAAAAAGAATGCAGAAAATAAAGACAAAAAAAAGCAGATGAAGAAAAAAAAGAAGAGAAAAAGAAAGAAATGACAAAAAAAATAAAAAAAAAAAAAAAAGAAAAAAAAATGAATAAAAGAAAAAAAGATTAGAAAAATCAAGAGAGAAGAAAAGAAAAAAAAGGAAAAGAAGAAAAACAAAGAAAATAGAAGAGAAAAAAAATAGAAAAAGAAAAAAAAAGGAAAAAAAACAAAGAAAAAATCAGAAAAAAAAAAAGATAATTAAAAAAAAAAAAGAAAATAGGAGGAGAAGAAAGAAAAGAGAAAAATAGAAAATCAAAAAAAAAAAAAAAAAAAAAGAAAAAAACGAAAGAAAAAAAAAAAAAAAGAAAATCAGAAGAGGAGGAAAGAAAAAGGAAAAGAGAAAGAAAAAAAAAAAAGAAAATCAAGAAGAAGAATAGAAAAAAAAAAATAGAAAAGAAAAAAGAAAAAAAGAAAAGAAAAAGGAAAGGTGAAAATCAGAAAAAAAGAAAAAAAAAAAAGAAAAAGAAAATCAAGAAGAGGAAAAGGAAAAGAAAAGAAAAATCAGAAGAGAAAAATAGAATTAAAAAAGAAAAAAAAGAGAAAAAAAGAAAAAAGAAAATCAAGAGGAGAAAAGAAAAGTAAAAAAAAAAAAAAAAAAGAAAATCAAGAGAAGAAAAAGTGGAAAGAAAACAAAGAAAATCAGAAGTGGAGAAAAAAAAAAAGAAAAGAAAAAAAAAGTGAAGAAAAAAACAAAAGAAAATCAGAAGAGGAGGAAAGAAAGAAAGAAAAAGAAAAATCAAGAAAGAATAAAAAAGAAAAAGAAAAGAAGAAAAAAAAGAAAATCAGAAAAGAAAAGAATAAAAAAAGAAAAAAAAGAGAAGAAAAAAAGAAAATCAGAAGAGGAGAAAAAGAAAAAAAAAAAAAAGAAAAAAAATAGAGGAAAAGGTAGAAAAAAAAAAGAAAAAGAAAAAACAAAGAAGAAGAGGAGGAGAAGAAAGAAGAAAATAGAATTAAAAAAAAAAAAAAAAATCAAGAGAGAAGAATAGAGAAAAAAAGGAAAGGGAGATAACAAAAAGAAATCAAAGTGGAGAAAAAGAATAGAAAAAGAAAAGAAAAAGGAAAGGTGAAGAAAAAACAAAGAAAATCAGAAGAGGAGGAGAAGAAAGAAGAGAAAATAGAATTAAAAAAGAAAAAAGAAAATCAAGAGAGAAGAATAGAGAAAGTAAAAGGAAAGGAGATAACAAAGAAAATCAGAAGTGGAGAAAAAGAATAGAAAAAAGAAAAAGAAAAAAAAGGTGAAGAAAAACAAAGAAAATCAGAAGAGGAGGAGAAGAAAGAAGAGAAAATAGAATTAAAAAAGAAAAAAGAAAATCAAGAGAGAAGAATAGAGAAAGTAAAAGGAAAGGAGATAACAAAGAAAATCAGAAGTGGAGAAAAAGAATAGAAAAAGAAAAAGGAAAAAAACAAAGAAGAAAAAACAAAGAAAAATCAGAAGAGGAGGAGAAGAAAGAAGAGAAAAATAGAATTAAAAAAGAAAAAAAAGAAAATCAAGAGAAGAAAATAAAGAAAGTAAAAAAAGGAAGAAAAAAAAAAAAAAAAAACTGAAGAAGAAAAGAAAAGAATAGAAAAAAGAAAAAGAAAGAAAAGGAAAAAAAAAAGAAGAAAAAAAATCAAAGAAAATAGAGAAAGTAAAAGAAGAGGAGGAAAAAAAAAAAATCAGAAGAATAAAAAAAATTAAAAAAAAAAAAAAAAATCAAGAGAGAAGAAAATAGAAGGAGGAAAGAAAGAAGAAAAGGAAAAAAAAAAAAAAGAAAATCAGAGAAAGTGGAGAAAAGAATAGAAAAAAAAAAAAAGAAAGGAAAGAAAAAAAAAAAAAGAAAATCAGAAGAAAAGGAGAAGAAAGAAGAGAAAATAGAATTAAAAAAGAAAAAAGAAAATCAAGAGAGAAGAATAGAGAAAGAAAAGTAAAAGGAAAGGAGAAGAAAAAAACAAAGAAAATCAGAAGAGGAGAAAAAGAATAGAAAAAGAAAAGAAAAAAAAGGTGAAAGGAAAATGAAGAGGAAAAAAGAAGAAGAAAATAGAATTAAAAAGGAAAAAAAGAAAATCAAGAGAAAGAATAGAAAAGTAAAAAAAGGAAAAAAAAAAAGAAAATCAAGAGAGAGAAAAGAATAGAAAAAAAGAAAAAGAAAAAGGAAGAAAAAAAAAAGAAAATCAGAAGAGGAGAAAAAAAGAATAATTAAAAAGAAAAAGAAAAAAAAAGAAAAATAGAAAAAAAGGAAA